GGGCGGCACCGGCCGCTTATAAAGGCTTGGGACGTACCACCTCGCGGCGGCGGGGGGGCGCGGACCGTACCACTGCTACACGAGGCGGCGGTGGGCCGAGACGCCCATTTCCTGCAGCGCGGCCCGGGAGGGGGCCGCGGGAGCCGGGCCTTGGGGCTTCTCTCAGCCTCGCTAGGCCGGTAGGACCCTAATTTTAGGCACCCCTCTGCTCGGTTGAAAGCAGGAAAGTGGGTTCATTAAGACCGGGCTGGGACAGGCTACACCTCGAAGCAGGGACCCTCATCTTGCCCCCAGGAAGGCACAAGCCCCACTCAGGGCAGCCAAGGGAGCACCCGCAGGCCCCTCACCAGGAAGAGGCGCAGCACTGCGCCTTGTTACTTACATTCCAGCAAAACTGGATAGGTCGGGTGTGAGTTCAGACCGCTTTTATTTGGAATAGAACAGCTGTTTGAATAAAAGTGTCATTATTTTCACATTATAATGTCATCTTGAACTGAAAATAAGGAGGTTTTTGCTTTCCTTTTCCCTCTCTTAAACACATCTGCCATCATCTTCAAAAAAAAATTTAAAAAAAAAAAAAAGCCCTCACTTTCAAGTCTCACCATCAACGCCACACGTTCAGAGTCTGCCTGAGGACAGCTGCAGGCACAGAGCCCATAGCCCCCACGACAATTTCTTTTGCACAATGTAACAGTTGCCTGAACCGTTTACCAAGAAAATACCTTTTTAAAACAGCAAAAACTTCCTAGAAGAAGGACTAGTGCGGTCCTAGAACGAGTCACCTAAAATTCAGAAAGATTTAATTTTTCCTCTGAGGCATAGATCCTCCAGCAAAAGCCAAAGCCAAACTACTTGCAATTTTCAACGTAAGTTCATTTTAGTAACATACATAGGTTGCACTTCTCAGTATCCAAACATTAATTTCTGCATCAAATTCCTTCAAGGTCACCTTTGTAGGTCTTGCATTCTTTTTATTATGCAAAGAATTCTAATTACTTAATTTTGCTCCTTACATTGAAATTGTAATTTGTCTAACCTGGAATACGCTAATATCTAGGAGTTCAGTGAAAGATCAAGAACACCCTAGCTAAGAGCAAAAGAGCTGACCGCAAAGAAAAGGGGACTTAAAACAAAATTCTCTATGCAGTCTCTCTCTAGGTCAAATAGATTTAAGTTAACCATGTTGAGGAAAAAGCATTCACTAAAGATTCAGTGCTCATTTTTAATTATCAAAACCCAGCAGTTAACGTTCAGGTAACTAAGGAAGACCAAAGCTAGAATTCCTGATACCAGCAAACACTTGTCAAGGCTTCTCTGTACATCATCAAAAAGCAAAACCAGGCAAACACTCAATTACAAAAAACTCTCTACAGGTCCCTTGAAGAGTAAACCTCTATTTTTCTTGCAGCTAAGCTATCAAGGTCTCATTAACACACATAACCCTCCCCCCAAATCATAAACACAATGGACCCGACTAACGCGGAGGCATTTGTTAAGGCGTATTTATGACTACCTGGAAGACAGAACCAGCCTTAATGGCTCCTCTTCATCGAATGCGAGCCTTCGCCTACATTGCTTTTCTTGCTTTCATACATCCATCAGTTCAGATCTTTTATATCGGTTGAAGGGATTCCCATTGCCATTCTGCCCTTCACACCAGTTAGTCTGTCCTTCACCGGGCTCAAGTTATGAGTATTTACATGGAAACACAGTGGTTATCAGCAATGTTAACAGCAGACCACAACCAGTTGCTGAGCTTAAAAACACGCAAAGATTCGTAACAGCGCAGAAGCCTGTCTTCGTAGACCAGGTGCGCGATTCATATCCACCATCTCCTTTCAGGAACAGGAAAGGTCATAATGGATTCAAAGCAGTAATCACTGCTTTGAACAGTGATTTAAATAATCAATAAACACAAAGGTTTACTGGCAAAAAGACACTGGTTAAATAAATTTTATCAGGATCTTGAGAAATGAGTACGGTATGGGTGCGATTCTATTTGAAAGCTTTGGAAGGGATATTAATGAAAGCACACGTTAAAATGAATTATTACAGTGATCAGACATTGCAGTCATTTACTCTCAACAGTACTTTTATGAGACATATTTATATATTCAATAATTAAATATAAAATCAAGGATGAGTGTCACAAAACAAGTAAATAATAAGGCTTGAAGCCCAGTCAGTCCCCAGATTACCCTTCTAGTCACTGCACCTTTCATTTTTACCTTTAATTTTTTATGCTGCTATTCTCACACATAATAAAGCAATAAGAAAAGTTAATCGCAGATTCCTTGCTTTTGTGAAGCCTCAAACCTACTTCAACTTAGTACAAAAATGGGGGGGCGGGGGAGTTTGTTAAAAAGCAGAAAGGGGAAGAGAGATTCATAGACATTTTGGACTGACAGAACCTGGGAAATAGGGACAATGCAAACAAATTTTCAGACTATCAAAATGTAGCAGACGATGTTTTTGCTACCTGTTCTGTTTACCAGAATGTGATGTGCTAGCATTATTCCTTATTTAGAATTATTGGCAATCAAAATAAATGCCATAGGCAACAAGAAAAAATTGCAGCTGCACACTGATCAAACCTTTTTCCTACCTAGGGAGGGTATGCGGGTAAAAAAGCTGAATGTAACAAGTCAACCATGTCCACATCCACATGTACTATACAATAAGAACATTCAAAAATATTGACATGAGACAGTGATCCTATAGTTTTCCTTTTCTCTTTCAGTTATATATATATAGTTAAACAGCACATAGGAAAACACCACTATAGCTTTCACCGTGGCCAACAGGAAGATTCTCACAAATATAAAAATGTATGCTTTTACATTGTTAGATTTCTTCAAAACATAATACAGATGAAATGAAAGAAATATAATTTCTCATCATGTAACAAAAAAAAAAAATTAAACCCTTGGGAATTTACACAATTCTCAAACATCCAACTTTGCAGTCTTGAACATCTCGATCCCTACTACAGCAGAACATAGTATCACCAAAATAAATGCGCAGAATTCCTTGAGAGCAGTGATGCTACTTGGATACTATGTGAAATTTCACTGTACTGAAACGTTTAACTTAGATTTACATTCAGTATTTTGGAGGAAGGGAAAGTGATAGTCCCTTCATGCTTTATCCTTGCTGGCTGCCTACCCGGGAAGCATTATTGTTATTACTTCAAGAGGAAAGGAAAGGTGCTGGTAAGAGCCAGAAGGGCAAGGCAATGATGTTGATTATGAAATGCCCTGTTCTTTGGACAAACTGTGTAAAATACTTTGTTAAAAGGCTCCATGTTAAAAATATTAAGAACAAAAAGGTCTTCTTAAAAATACAGAGCATTTCTGCCTCTTCTTTTAAGTTCAAAGCTTGGGGAAAAGTGTTTTGCTAGAATTAACTACAGGTTTGCTGTAATAAACATATATGACAATGCCCTACATAACACAGGGCCAACCACAGACTCCAGACAAACGTGATTGCTTTAGGTTTCAAGTGGTATACGCATCTCTATTTTTGTATAAAAGGAACAGAGACACTTCTGGAACCTTCACTGCAGAGTCTTTGCCAGTGTCCAGCTTTGGGGCAAAGG